AACCAAAAAAATTTATAATAATAACTAAAACTTAAAATTTTATCTATATGTTGGTTTTATAAATTATTTTTTAAAATGATATTTATTTATAATTATTTCTCATAATGATATTATTATTGTCACATATAATAAAATGCGTCTATACATCACATCTTTTGTAATATGTATACTTATTTTACATGATAATCTAAACAACATATAATAAAAATTTTATCATTCGGTATAATGTGTATTTGGCCAATCGTAACTTTAAGATGTTTGAATAAACTTAAAACATTTACGTGAGATAATGCGTTTTAGAAAATTCTATATGAAGTATAAGTATAAGTTTGTATACCGAATGAGATAAGGTGGTATGGCATAAGTTTGTATGGTTTCCTTTGAATGTTCACAATCATTCTATAGTTACTTGGATAACAATTCTGGACAAACTGCCTACTACAAATAGGTTGATAAAAATTGGGCTGCTGGTTGATGGGAGCTGCAGACTCTATTGTGTTTTGCCTGAGACTAGGAGTCATCTGTTTTTTGAGTTCATCTTCTTAAAGGCAGTGTGGAAGGCTATTCTTTGCCTGTGCAAAATTGACAGGTCAGTAGGGAACTGGAAATGTGAGTTTAATTGGGCTATTGCTCGACTTAAAGGGAAATTTTTAGTGGTTTACTTCTTTAAAATAGCTTGGTGTGCTTACATATATTGTATATGGGAGTAGAGAAATTATAGGCAGTTTAGGTGTAAATAGACACATTAGTGATATAGTGGAAACAATTAAAGGGATTGTTAGGGTAAAGGTGTATAGGAAAGTTATTATGAGTGTTGTGATTAACCATGATCTCTGTATAGTTTGGGGAATTCAGTCCTCCTATAAGGTTGTTTGGTTTTGTATTGGTTGTAGCAACGTTTTTTCTGTTGTTTCTTGGATAATAAAAATGAAATTAGTTAACCAAAAAAATTTATAATAATAACTAAAACTTAAAATTTTATCTATATGTTGGTTTTATAAATTATTTTTTAAAATGATATTTATTTATAATTATTTCTCATAATGATATTATTATTGTCACATATAATAAAATGCGTCTATACATCACATCTTTTGTAATATGTATACTTATTTTACATGATAATCTAAACAACATATAATAAAAATTTTATCATTCGGTATAATGTGTATTTGGTCAATCGTAACTTTAAGAAGTTTGAATAAACTTAAAACATTTACGTGAGATAATGCGTTTTAGAAAATTCTATATGAAGTATAAGTATAAGTTTGTATACCGAATGAGATAAGGTGGTATGGCATAAGTTTGTATGGTTTCCTTTGAATGTTCACAATCATTCTATAGTTACTTGGATAACAATTCTGGACAAACTGCCTACTACAAATAGGTTGATCAAAATTGGGCTGCTGGTTGATGGGAGCTGCAGACTCTATTGTGTTTTGCCTGAGACTAGGAGTCATCTGTTTTTTGAGTTCATCTTCTTAAAGGCAGTGTGGAAGGCTATTCTTTGCCTGTGCAAAATTGACAGGTCAGTAGGGCTCTGGAAATGTGAGTTTAATTGGGCTATTGCTCGACTTAAAGGGAAATTTTTAGTGGTTTACTTCTTTAAAATAGCTTGGTGTGCTTACATATATTGTATATGGGAGTAGAGAAATTATAGGCAGTTTAGGTGTAAATAGACACATTAGTGATATAGTGGAAATAATTAAAGGGATTGTTAGGGTAAAGGTGTATAGGAAAGTTATTATGAGTGTTGTGATTAACCATGATCTCTGTATAGTTTGGGGAATTCAGTCCTCCTATAAGGTTGTTTGGTTTTGTATTGGTTGTAGCAACGTTTTTTCTGTTGTTTCTTGGATAATAAAAATGAAATTAGTTAACCAAAAAAATTTATAATAATAACTAAAACTTAAAATTTTATCTATATGTTGGTTTTATAAATTATTTTTTAAAATGATATTTATTTATAATTATTTCTCATAATGATATTATTATTGTCACATATAATAAAATGCGTCTATACATCACATCTTTTGTAATATGTATACTTATTTTACATGATAATCTAAACAACATATAATAAAAATTTTATCATTCGGTATAATGTGTATTTGGCCAATCGTAACTTTAAGAAGTTTGAATAAACTTAAAACATTTACGTGAGATAATGCGTTTTAGAAAATTCTATATGAAGTATAAGTATAAGTTTGTATACCGAATGAGATAAGGTGGTATGGCATAAGTTTGTATGGTTTCCTTTGAATGTTCACAATCATTCTATAGTTACTTGGATAACAATTCTGGACAAACAGCCTACTACAAATAGGTTGATCAAAATTGGGCTGCTGGTTGATGGGAGCTGCAGACTCTATTGTGTTTTGCCTGAGACTAGGAGTCATCTGTTTTTTGAGTTCATCTTCTTAAAGGCAGTGTGGAAGGCTATTCTTTGCCTGTGCAAAATTGACAGGTCAGTAGGGCTCTGGAAATGTGAGTTTAATTGGGCTATTGCTCGACTTAAAGGGAAATTTTTAGTGGTTTACTTCTTTAAAATAGCTTGGTGTGCTTACATATATTGTATATGGGAGTAGAGAAATTATAGGCAGTTTATGTGTAAATAGACACATTAGTGATATAGTGGAAACAATTAAAGGGATTGTTAGGGTAAAGGTGTATAGGAAAGTTATTATGAGTGTTGTGATTAACCATGATCTCTGTATAGTTTGGGGAATTCAGTCCTCCTATAAGGTTGTTTGGTTTTGTATTGGTTGTAGCAACGTTTTTTCTGTTGTTTCTTGGATAATAAAAATGAAATTAGTTAACCAAAAAAATTTATAATAATAACTAAAACTTAAAATTTTATCTATATGTTGGTTTTATAAATTATTTTTTAAAATGATATTTATTTATAATTATTTCTCATAATGATATTATTATTGTCACATATAATAAAATGCGTCTATACATCACATCTTTTGTAATATGTATACTTATTTTACATGATAATCTAAACAACATATAATAAAAAATTTATCATTCGGTATAATGTGTATTTGGCCAATCGTAACTTTAAGAAGTTTGAATAAACTTAAAACATTTACGTGAGATAATGCGTTTTAGAAAATTCTATATGAAGTATAAATATAATGTAAAGTTTTGAAGACAACAATTTTATGCTAAAGTGTCTGATTAAGGTAAGTTTTTAATCTATGTAATATTTCAAGATCTATTCGCTGACAATGAATCAAAGCTGCATTGTATCATTTTTCATCTCAATAAATCATGTGTTTTACTTTAATTTTGAGTCTTATGGTTTTTTATTAGTAATTTTAAATATTTGACCTCATTTACTTTTAACTTGTCTAACTTGAAAAATCAGGTTTTATAAATTAATATATATAAATATTTATAATAATCTGATACATGTAATTTTACTTTAAAATTCATATATTTATATTTTGGTTCCTATCATTTAAAACTTTTTTTATTTTAATCTTTACAAATTTATTTTTCTTTCAATTTGATCCATGCATAGTAAATAAAAGTTATAATCAAACCAAACTACATGAAAACAACCATCAACTCCAAAAATGTCAACGCTAGCTGACAACAACATTAGGTAAAATGTTGTCCTTCGTAATTCCTAAAATCATTGTAGATTTCACCCTAAAATGCCTAAATAATCGTATATCATCCATAATTTCCTAATTTTTAACCAATTTCCTTAAATTTACCATAAAAGTATCACATAATTTTTTCTAAACTCTTAAAAGGTGTGCTTATCTAAGTACATCTTTCACATCAACCAATAAAATTCAAGTTATCTATTGATTAAATTATGATGTAGGATGAAAATACATCTAATTAATTATATTTTTTAAAAGATTGATTTGATTTGATTTATTTTTACTATACGTAAAAAATGAGTGTTTATTTGATAAATAATTAGAAATAAGTATTATTTTAATAAATAATTTATAAAATCGATATTCGTAATTAAAGCAAACTTTAAATCTTGGCTAAGTTAAATATCCCAAAAACAATGAGACGAGGATGATTACTGATGTTATTTTGAATGATTTTAAACTGATACATTGTTGAATTTGAATGATTATTGATGTAAAAGAAAAACAATGGAGACGAGGATGATTTTATAAGAAATAAAAGATCCAAAGGGTCACCGCCGCTCTTACGAGTTTCAAAGCAAGTGCCCACCACGCGAATCACAAGAAAACATTAATTGTAACAGGGAATTCGTAATTTTCCCTAATCTGGTCTTTTCTCTCTCTCTTACAGAACACAGGGGAAACATTAATTGGATGTTGACGCCAAGCGCGCGTCACAAATGTCGGAAAGCATTAGCGCACGTAAGACGTAATCCCAAGATTTGGTTTTAATTTATTGCATCCGCAAGTAATTCCGTGTCCCTATCTTCTTATCTCATCCGTACTACCACGTTACGCGCCACCTGACCTCACCTATAGGTCCCACCGTCCCATGAGCGCGTGCAAGTATAGCCCCCATTAGACCATGGGATAGTCAATCGGCAAATAATAATGGATTGGGTCAGGACGGCCGGCTGGATTTTGGTTCGCACTTAAATTACACAAGAACATCAGCCTCCAAACGCACTATATTTCTCTCGAGAGACGATCTGTCACCAAAAGAACTTCAAAAGTTTCACTCTTATTTTAAAACTTGAACCGGACCGACACGAATTTGCGCTTAAAATAAAGCTGCTTAGGGTTATCATCCCTAATGCAAATGAAGTTTCAGTGTGGGGATATGCGCGTGAAACTTTGAATTCCTTTCTTTTGTCCGCTGTGTAGAGTTTACCCTACAGTGGGCAACCCCAAACCTGCTATCTTCACTGTAAAAACTCGGTTTTTAGTATTTTTACTGAACAGTCAAGAGGGGAAAAAATATGAAGTTAAAACCAGCCCAATTATTTATACTGCAGTAAAAACCCAGAGCCTAAACAAGAAAGCAGCAGCTATTAAGGGAGTTGATTTCAAGGTCCCTTCGGGAAAACATAAAAAGAAAAAGCTTCCCTTGCAGATAGGAAGAGAGAAAAAGTGAAGGGAAATCCAAAACAAAGCGTTAATTTTCTTGTATTTGAACCTTTTCTTTTAGGGTAATTTGCTTTGGTTGGAAGAAATGGAGTTCGAGGATCAAGACGAACAAGAAGAAGAGATGGGTTTGGCACCGAGTTATAACTCGCTAGCAAACTCAACTGGAGTCAAAATGTTAGGCGTTGAACCGGGTTCAATAACTCCAACTGGTCACCAGCTGCAGCAAACGCAGCCAAGGTATAGAGAGTGTTTGAAGAACCACGCGGTGGGGATCGGCGGCCACGCCCTCGATGGGTGCGGTGAGTTCATGCCGGCTGGAACCGAAGGTACCCTTAACGCTCTGAAATGTGCAGCTTGTAACTGCCACCGTAACTTCCACCGTAAGGAAACGGAACCAGGTTCTCCAAACACCTTCCCCACAACGGACCTCTACTTCCACCAGCCACCGCAGTTCACACCCTTCTTTAGAGCGCCGACAGGGTACCTCCACGTGACGGGACAGCAAAGGCTATTAGCTTTACCGTCGACTTCAGGTGGCGGAGGAGGACATAGCAGGGAAGATCAAGAGGATGCTTCCAATCACGGGAGCTCGAGGAAGAGATTCCGAACAAAGTTCACACAAGAACAAAAGATGAAAATGTTCGAGTTAGCCGAGCGGTTAGGGTGGCGAATTCAGAAACACGATGAACCGGTGGTTCAACAGTTCTGCAATGAATATGGCATAAAAAGGCAAGTCTTCAAAGTTTGGATGCATAATAACAAGCACACTCTTGGTAAGAAACCCTAGAAACAGCGTGTGGGGGATTTTCCTTTGGTTGTAATCTAGCATTTGGCGCTATGAGAGTAATTATGAAGTTGGGGATGGATTATTATTAATTAATAGTACTGTTAACTTCGAATTATATTAGATTATCAGTTAATGTAATGGCTACTTAATATCAAATTTAGTTCTAATATATTTCCTTTTATGTTTCATCTAAACACTATATTTTAACACTCTATTTTAATGTGTGCATTGAGGCGAATTGGAGACATGCAAGCTTTCACGAGTAAGAACCATATACTGAGAAATAAAACAAGATCGAAAGGGTCAATGATGATTTTCCTTTGGAGTTTGGAGACAAACATTCCCCATTAACTTAAATATGTGAGTGGCTCTATATTTATGAGCTAATGACATTTCGTGTGAGCCTTTCACTTTCTTCTGACCAAACTTTTTGTTTAACAAATCCTCAGCTACCCACTCACTTAATTTCTTAAATCTACGTACTTTGAAATTGAAGTATTATTATGGATGCAATTCTGCGAGTTCACTTGATCTCGAAATTGATCAAGGACCTGGGTTTTTTCTTTTGTCTGAAATTTTCGAAACAAACGAAGGTTTATGATCTCTGAGGACTCCTTTCTGTTACCAATTGCATGCAAGCTTCCATTGATCAAGTCCACCTTTGATAAACCTAGCCGGATGATATAAGCTGTAGTTTTATTTTCCTACCATATGACTAAAATCCAGTTTTGTGTGGCTTTTCCCCCATTTTCCATCCTTCTTTCCTCTTCTCTTTTTTTTTTCTTTTCTTAAACCTTCCAGAGAATGCATGTGGGCTCTCCCAGCAGCAAACCCAAACAAAAAAACAACCTCGAAAGGAATAGATCGCAGTGATTGTTGGCTCCAAGCTGATATATAACACAGGTCTTGTCTTGTTTCTCTGCAGGCATGACAATTCATGCATGTATGCCATGTCTCATTTTTTAAAACACAAATACAACAAAAACTACACTGCCATTGGCGATCACCTAATTAATCACTAACACGGCGTCGTATTCAAATATGAGCTGTTATGTCAGAACTCAACCACATTGGCATTTTGCAGGTAAAAAGAGGGACCTGATTCTTCGTATAAGGCAAGATTTTCAGATGGGGGATATGTTCATTTTTGGGGGCCCTTTCACTATTACCAGTTTAAATATGGTTTGATGTTTGGAGTTTACCTTGCAATAATTTGCTTGCTTCAGTGTCCAAAGCTTACCAACAAGACATGCACTTGTTTCAGGATACTTTGCTTGATTAGGGATATCAAATTAAAACCACAGTGATATATGTCTGTATCTGTCAAAAGCTGCATAAGGAAATTGCAAGTTCTTTTTAATGTGTAATAACATTTGGTTGCACATGGGAATCTTGGTCAAAGATTAATTGCATGCAGATGGTGATGGATCATCTTCTTCTTACCAATGTTACTCGAAATGCTTCATCGTCTTTATTCTTGGTTTGGGCTCTAGTTAAATATAGAAAGCTAGACGTTGAGTTCAAACAACAACCGATGGTACTTCTGGTGGGCCTGCAAAGAAAAACATATTTCAAACCAGAAGAAATTGAAGGCTCTATCTGTTTACTTGTGGGCTTTGCCATGGTCTTTTACTCTTTAGACAGGTCACTTACTATGTTTAGATTTCAATTTGGTGCTTGTTTTTTCATTTTTTTTAATAAAATAGAATTTGTTTAAAATATTTTTTTAATTTATTGACAATGTATATATAACTTATATACGTAACTGTTTAAATCCGTAACTTTTAAATAAAACATTCACTAAAACCATTCAATAGATTCATGATTCGTATTTTGAAAAACAAGAGAAATATTCACAAGCTCCTATTAATTACATAAAATAAAAGGAAGGTGTCAGTGAATGCACATGGCAGCGTGAGTAGAACTCATTAAACAAGGTTTCTGTCATGTGTGGATGATACGATTAATAAAAGGGATTGAATTCTCTGTATCACTCTGACTGGTCAAAACACTGGATTCGATTCTCCTGAATTAATTCATCACATTGTATACTATAACATGATATTTTTCTGTTTGGGTTTCGTCTAGTCAATTATAAGTACTAAACATGGAAATTCTTCATCGTGCTTTCAGAAAACAAACAAGATGGCTTCTCATTTTGTTCATTATTAATAACTTATATATAAATATATGAATATAAAACGATGAATCGTATATATAATATACTAACAAAAGGAAAAATGCATATATGCACATATGGTTAAGATTGTTTGTTTATTTACTTTAAGTGATTAAAATTAAAATCTACAAAGAAAAGTGGCTATTTAATTTTTTTTTGAAGAGAAAATGAAAAAAAAAAGTATCAGTTATCATCTGATACACATATATTGTTGCAAGAATGTCCTAAAAGAGAGAAATTCTAAGAATCAACCACTTAATTTATTCAGAAAACCATTTCGAAATCACTACTGCACAATAATATTTATTTTTCTTTTTTTCCCATCTGTTTATGTTCATATTAACAATGTGATGCTAATTATTCACCAAGGTTGTCCAATACTCTCTCGCTTTTACCGATTTGAACAGAAGATTAAGGAGCTACCCAAGATTGAATTTTATAACAAAAAATGTTCACATAGTTAATTTTGAATCACCATAAGATTGAAAAGGGGAAGAACAATGGGATAAACACAACAAATGATGGGAAAGAAATGTGTTTGGATGAAATGCATGAGAAAAAAAATGATATTAAAAGATTATTTAATGACGTAAAAACTTCTACAATGACTTAAGGACTCAACTATGACAGCCTTATATACATCAGTATCAACGAGTTTTCTAATAGGCTGACAATGGTTTATTCACAATGTTTAGTTCTTCTGGAGCATGAAAATTTAGCACACTATCGTTTAATAATTTTTGAACCGTTCTCTTGAAAATAGTACAATTCTTAATTAAATGGTCCCGAGTTTCAACATGGTACTCATAATGAGCATTAGCATCATACCATTTTAAGTATGAAGGTTGCACCGATGAAATATATCATGTGGCCACCAATTATCTTTTCAACTACTCTGCGTACAATTCCTCATATAAAACATGAATCGTTGTGAACTGAGGCTTTTGCCTTAAAGGCCTTGATTCATTTCTGGCATGTTTGGCATGGAATAATACATATGTCTCAACCATGTTGAGTTCGTTTTGTCTCTTTGTGGTGAACATTGTGCTCCTCACAATCTCAATACTATCAAGCTTTTCACTTCTAATAACGCTTTCAATCAACTCACCCTGATTTACCAAATCTACAAGTTTTTTGTGTGGTACTGTCCATTAATTTGTCATAGTTTAATTCCTTTTGAGTGTTGATGAAAAGGATGTTGATTATTAAATCTGTAAACTTTTTTATTGATGCCAGATTTTTGTATGTTTATAAGATTAAACTTCGAGTGAGGATAAGAGATTGGATATGTCGGCTGAAAATAAGGTCGGTGATAAGAAGACAAGGATAAGGAGTGGTGGGTTTTTGGGAAAGAATGAGTTTCTTTGGGTTTGAAGGGCTCTGTTAGTTAAGGGTTGGATTTGGGTAGAGTTCAATGTTTAGGTTAGATTTGGTCTTGATGGTGGGATAGGTTTGATTTAGGGTTTCAATTGGGTTTGAGTTAGTGTTTTGTTAGGTTTGGTTTTTTCTATGTTAGGCTTTAGGGTCGGTGGGCTCAGGCTTAGAATGAACAAAGTTGGTGTTCACAAGGTTTATTTAAACTATATTGAGTTAGTAGTATTAATGTTTCAATTAGATAATAAATATAAGTATTTTTTAAAACTATATTGAGATTTGATGTACAGTCACTTGAGAATGATTTTAAAATCCCAGAAAAGAAAGAGACATGCATGAATGTATATATAATGTAATCCAAATTTCTTTATTGAAAAAAGAATTAGAGAGAGATGAATAAAGGGCAGCATATATATATGGCAGAATAGAATATGACAAATAAAGGAATCGATGCTTAGTGCTTCTGCTATGAACAAAACCCTTCTACCCATCTCTCCGCCATGCAGACACTAATTTCTATTTCTATGTTAACCTTTTAATTCATTTATTCTTCTTATTCCTTGTCGGTTTTCGCGTTGCTCTCTTTGGCTCTTACATTTCTCTTTCTCATCATCACCTCCACATTCATTTTCTTGATAATTACAAAATCTCATTTACATCCGGCACGCTATTCTTGTGTAATTTCGATATAATTTCATCTTAATATAATCAGAAAAGAAAATTTTAGAGACTGTGACACTCTTCTAGTCTTCTTCTACCAACTCAATCCAGTTTTTGCACTGAGACTGGCAATCTGCAGAGCTCAGAAAAGAAAAGTAAACAGAAAACCATAATTAGAAGAAAATGAAGAACTGCAATTTTAAGAATGAGCTGGCCATATTGATTATATCTTTTGCTGCACACTAAACAGATATTCATTAGTTTTTAACAGTGTGGAGACAGTCGTATGTCATTTACTTATTCTGTTGGTATTCTCCCCTCCCTTTCAAATGTCTTCTATTGCAGACAGAGAGATGAAAAGAAAAAGGTGATGTTTATGCCATTGGGATCCCTGCCTTTAATGGCATTGTCATTTACAAATTTAGGGTTTCCTCTTCTTTTATGTATTTTTGTCTAATATATTAGCCTAATTCACCATGCTTAGCTGTGTTTTATAATCCCTCTACAATTTTACTGTTTTAACTCTCTGTCGCCTGTTGGATTTTTTAAGGCGTGGCTGCTTTTTTAGTTTCACTTTTGAGGTAAAAGGCTGCACTCATTGGATGGAAGTTTCATGATTTTTTCCCCAAAAAAAAAGTACATCAGAATCTCAGAGGACAGCTTTCGGAGTTCCTGATATTATCTCTATTTTAACCCATGTTGTGTGGGTATAAGATTTAAGTTTGAATTTTATGCATAAAAAAATAGTGTTATATATATATATATATATAATTTTATGCTACTAACCCAATTTAATCCTGCCATTAAGCACATGGAGATTATTGGTATTGTTTTTTTTTCTGTTTGTGTGATACGATAATTATATATATGTATGGAAACAAACCATAGTGATTCCCTAAATAAAGTTTAAAAATTGAGGCGCAACTTAATGTACATAAATTGATTGAGTTAAATTATAATTGAAACCATGTATGTAGTACTGTTTTTAATGCAACAGAATCAAATGTAAGTGTTTTTAATAACGAAAATTGAATATAAAAATATACTGTCAGTAGGTAATATATTACAGTCAATGAGACAAACAAATTCTCCATGTATAAAGATCTGTGCAATATTTAAATAGCTTACTTTTTTTTTTGCAAATAAATAAAGGCTTCTTTTAATTTATCCATTAATGGCTTTCTTTTTTATCTACTGTATGGCTTTTGGATTTCTCCCTTCTTCCTTTATCGTTTCAGAATTCAGACACCAAACTCAAAACTCCAATTGAACTAAAGCGAAAGGTGTTGGATGGGACCAAATCATGGCCCTTTGTGATCCCAATATCCAACGAAGAAACGGCACCGTCTCCTGCTTGAAAGTAAGCACAGTTGGGGCAGCTAAAATTGAAATGGGGGCATATTTGTAATTACAAGGCCTTTTTTGGACAATTAATTATCTATTACTAATACATTTTGAGTTATCCAGGAGCTGTTTCCAAAAATAATAATAATACTGTAGTAATTAAAATAAATGTAAAAACTAAAACGCCAACATTCAATTCACTTCTTCTGCCTGTGAAACCAATAGCTGTAATTTGAGGCCATCTTGATTTATATAAACAGCTGGTGACAACCTTTTCATGCTTTTAGCATTGAACAACATGGAAATCCTTTTTTTTTTCTTTTTGTATTTTCCCCATTTCTCTTTCAGAGCTCCAAAACCACACCAAAGTTCCCATTCAACCAAATTGATTTTGGACCTAATTATTTAAAAAAAATGGAGGAAAAGGGTAAGGTCACTTGAAATCATCTTGTGATTGTGAAGCTTTTTTGTTGTCGTAGTCGTCATTGTCGTTGCCGTGTTTCCTCCTTTGAAAGATTGGCATTCGGATCAACTGTTATTTCACCACTTTTATAGCTCATGCATGAGGCTGCATCCAACACCCCAATGGGGCTTTGGGGCACAGTGGAAGAAGCTGATGAGCGTTGTTGAGTTGTCACAGCAGCGGTAGCAGCCCCATTAATGAACAACTTTTTCATGAGTTCAACACATTTCAGTACTCTACCCTGCAAAAAAAATAATAATCCCACATCCACATCCTTTTTACTGAATCATCAAAATAGTAAAAAATGAACAATGCCAAGATCTTTGTTTTTGTTATTTTTTACTGCTTTTTTTTTACCTTTTCTACATAGGTGAAAGATGAAATTGCCTTGTCAATGGCTACTGTTTGCATATCTCCCGAAACAGAAATTGCCACTGCTGCTGCTATTTCAGATGGCCTGAATTCCAAGAAGTCAATACCTGCATCCATTCCCCCCCCCCCCCCACCAACACCCATTAATCCTGTACAATGAAAATCAGACAGATAAGATTAATTCGGACATTGAGATAGAAAGCAACCTTTGACTGTGTTCAATATCATTTGTAATGATCTGCACATTGAACTTGATGATGGATATTGATCATTGCAGATTCTACACAGGAAGTAGTCAATGAAAGAACAAGGAGTAATGGCTTGCATTCTCCACTTCAATGTGCTTAAAACCAAAACCTCCATTCTGTATATTGTTTTAGCTTCAAACACAAACTTCGGTTCTCCCATCTGCAAATCTGATGCTTGAGGCACCTTTGTCTCCTCCATTTTGGCTGCAATTGATAGACAAGCAACAGCCAGCAATTGTATTGTCCATGTTTTACCTCTCTGTGTAATGTTTATCCCGAAACACAGAAAACAAAACCAAGGATTCAAGACAAAGATCAGTGGCTGTGATTTATGATGTAAGAAAAAAGAAGGAATCAAAGTTGATGAACTTACAGGTAAGTCATAAACTGATAGGAACCGATCCAAGTAATTAATGGATAGGCAAAAACTCACAGGTCCAAAATGGTAATAAGCAGAAGCCTGTTTGATCACAAATGAAAAAAAAATCAAATCAAAGATGATCTTTTTTTTTCATAATCAACTGTGAGATCATCATTCATTGACACATTATCATAGTCCAATTAGGCATTATAAAAGATACAGAATGACAAGCGGAATCACAGAAAAGAAAACACAATTCTGATTTCTGGTTTCCATTAACGACAAAAGTAAAAACAGAAGCTAACTAAGAAATAGAACTTTAAAACAAAAATTTATGATGGGTTGGAAATTGTTTGATCCAAGAATAAAACTTGATCATAAAAAAAACAATGTGATGAAATGGATCAAAAAAAAAAAACCCCAAACAAACAGACCTTCAAAATCCAATCAAGAGCCTCTCTCCTAACACTCAAGTTCAAATCCCCACTTCTCAGTCTCTTGAGATAATCATCTTCAGGCAAATGCTGCACCTCTTTTTCAACCATGTCTTTGATTCTATCATCACCCTGAATTCCAAAATCGGAACAGCCCACCAAAGGAGTTGATCTGTTGTTTATAAAAAAGTTGTCTTGTTGATTAAATACTTGAATTTTAAGGTGGTGGTCACAAGCAGTGGAAACCCCAAACTCATCCAAGCAAGAGCTCGTGGTGTCTGAACAGAGAATATTTGAGTCTGAACAGTCGAGATTTTCTTCCATTTCATATCAGAGGGGGGCTAAAAAGGTTGAGGTAATTATAAAACCTCGAGAGAGAGAGAGAAAACCACTCAATTCATCAAGGGGAAAGCTTTGTGTGAAAAAGGGTTTATCAGTGGCTTGTGGGTAAGAGCATTTTGTTCATTATACAATAAAGAGAAAAAGAGAGAGTGAAAGAGAATGGGGCTGAAGAGAGACTGTTTTAATGAGAGAAGTTGGGGAAGACAACTTGTAAGTGTAATTGAAAAAATCAGTGAAAGAGGAGAGGGCTGACATAACAATGAGAAAAAGAAAAACACAAAGGAAAAACCATATAATTAAATAAAAAAATAGATTATATATGTAAGAAACTTTTATATATATTATTATTAAGCTTGTATTTTGAAGTTTTTCCATTAAAAATATATATATTTTGGAAATTATATATACAAATTTATATATTAATAGAGTGTAAATTGAAGAAAAAAATGAAAATGTTTGAATTAAAAGACCTGTATTTTAATGTAAACATTGCTTATTTAATTAATTTAAGAGACAGTTGTTTTTATTAAAATGTAATAACAAGTGTTTTTTAGAAGAATACCTTCCTTCTGCCCATCACCCTACCAGTACGAAAATGCTGAAACCGTGGATATAATAATTGCAAATAAGAATTCCAATAGACTACAATAATTTGTGTGTTTGTCTACTATTAACCATATTCTAGTTACTATATCTAAATAATTATATTGTACATTAAATTATTTTAATGTGAAAATTTAAATTACTTATAACTTTTAAATCTTAAATTAAAAAAAACATATTTAAATTAATATTTTATGAATTATTATAATAATAACAATGTTAATTTAATTAACAGTGCCGTTGGAGGCTGTTGTATAGGTGGTAATTCCATTTGTTTTGTTTCGTTGTTGGCTTATTATTATTGCGTCATGTTGGTGTTGGTCTACGTTTCATTTGTATAGGTATTTCTTAGTCTAGTATACTAAACGTGTAGTGGACTTGTATTATTCATTTCATTTTGTTATAAAAAAAAAATGAATTTTACTGTTAAGAAAAAAATTAATATTCGATTAATACATTATTTTATATTTTAAAATGTAACACATTTATAGATTTGCCGGTGGCATCAAAATTCAGCAATGGTAAGACAATAAAATAATGGTAATTTCAATGGACAATTAGAATTTGTGTTTGTAACTTGACCGTGGTACTTTTGCTACCATATACATATATATTATCTTTTATACACCACATCATAAATGATGAAAACTTTTAGGGTATATAACACACCAATGACCATTTACTTATGGGTGGATTTCATTTTAATCACTGGTCTTTCACTTTTGTCAATCAAATCACTTAATTATTTAAGCGTTGCCAATTAAATTATCAGTTGTTAAAAGAATTATACAGTCTATCAATTTAGTTATAATTTTAATTTAATTTAATAAATCTAACATGTTGTCCCTGGTTGAGGGGGAAACATATTAAAGAAGAATTTGTATTGGAGAGGAATCAAAGTTAATAATGGATGAGCCTCAAGTCCTCAACAACTTGACCAAATTCCATATTTGGTATTCAATCAAACTATTAGAAAACGTTTTAAATTTTAAAGGGATCGTAATGTTGAAAAAATGAGAAAATATTATAAAATATATGTTTTAAATTTTAAAGGGAGGGATTGGTGAATAAGCATGGCATATACGCAAAATCCTTGTTCAATGCCTAGGAAGTCACATGCTCGTTCATCTTTATTTGAGTACAGTATAATCAAATTTCAACGACAATAATCATTTAAGATTAAGTTGTGTGCACTTGAAAATATTTTATCATTTAATATATATATATATATAATTATTTTTTTATTGTCGTGATGTACGGATTGGTTGTACATATTAGTAAAGAAATATTAAATCATTGTATATAAAGATTCAATCTTATGAATTAACATATAATATGATAAAAATATATAATAATAATTGAAAAATATTTAAAAGGTAATGTCATATTGTTCTAATACATCGATGTTTAACTATTAAAAACAAAAGGTTTCCGAGTTGCAGATTCAGAACAGAGGAATTGTGGAAGAAATGAGAAAATAAAAAAGGCCGTGCATTGAGTTTCATATCATAATATTTGTTATTAATTATAATTATACATGTTAAAGGCAAGCTTTCATCAAATTCTTCAAATACCCCTCCATTCCTTCAATCATTGTACTAAAAATACATGCAAAAAATGGCAAATGTTTTCCAACTTCCTTCTTGGATTTTGATAATATATATATAATTATGAAAAGTTGTTAGATCATCATAACATTATAATAGTACATGTGTTGCACGATAATATTTTTATGCTATTAATCTTTATAAAACTAAAACAAGTATATGGTACACGATAATTAAGAAAAGTAGGAGATATTTGAATAAAAAATATAAAAATAGTTATACAATTAAAATTATTTTTTAATAAATATATTAAGACTAGATGAGATCCAAACTTAGCTCGATTTAATTGGCCACCTCTAAGTAGAGGGAGGCGTTTGGTGATTTTGTTTTTGACTATAATGGATGAAAATTGTAGCAAAATTAGTGAGAAAAATGGAAGGTGTGGTATATGGAATCCAATTATTTAAAAGGTATAGTAAGAGCTAGGAGGGTAGAAGAAGTTCCAAGATGGCACGTTGTGTCAAATCATAGTTATGGAAGAATGCAATGTATGAATAATAATTCGTTTTTGATGAAGTAATGTATGAATAATATTATTATGGGAATTGACGAAATTGAAATCCCATTACATTCATGTTTCCTCCAAATGGGTTGAATAATTTACTGGTACAACATTATTGGTACGGTTGTGGCATCACCTTCTATTATTAACAATGTAGCCTAGCCTGCTTACTGGGGTTGGATTCTCCATCCAACTCCGTACATTCAATTCATATTAAATCAGATTTAGATGAATTTTTATAAAATAATATCTTTTAAATTTTAATTATTATTTTAATTTATTTCGAATTCTCAAAGCTATGTAAAAATAATAATTCATGACCACATTTTCCAACAATTTGTGGAGGATATAAAATTGATCGTGTATGTTCATGAATGTTGCATTGAAGAGAGAAGCTTCCAAATAAAAAGGAGAGAGACACATGTGGTTTATAATACTTTTGCAAGAGATGGATTCCAATTGAGGGTGGGGGTTTTCTCCCAAAAATTCTCCAGGACCAAACATGGAACACTGCAAAAAGGACGAGTCGTTTCTTATTTGGGGGTTAGTGTGTTTGATATTCGAGTTCTGGACACTGCTTCCTTATTCTTCATATAGATATCATCAAAAGCCATGGCTCCTGCAATCCGCTCAACCACCCAATACTTTTTTATTTATTATAAAAAAACTGCATCTTTGGCTCCACATGTCTGCTTCCATCCATGCCATTGCTGAATTCCATATTTTTCATTCATCTGCTTTTGAAACCACCATCTCTCCTCCGCTGATAACTTTTAACCCAATGGACCTGAACGCCAGGAATTTACAGGAACCAGCCCACGGCCTCAGCCAACGTAGTTTATAGCCCTACTTTTTCTTCATTTCATGACAATTGAATCAGATATTTTACTTCATTTCCCCCCTTTCCAAAACCATAAACTGATATAGTTTTATCGGAGATTATACTTGGGACCGATAGAATCAGGTTTTGACGGGGTTCATGTAAAGTATTACTAATTTTTGTGTCATTTAGATTAGGGTCTATATATGTGTGTGTTTTACATCTATTGACGTTTTTACTCCTGATTTTAACAAAATATTTTAATATGTGAATTACGGCTGGTAACGATTTGGATTCATCTACAGATGAAGTATGACACAAAATCAATTCAATATAATTGTTAAGGGTTATAAAACTATATACTAGTTTTATTAGTTTTATCAATCTCGTGGCTAATTTAATTTTAAGTTAAATTAATAATACTGAATCTCACACAATTTAATTATTTATTTGATTTAAATCAATTCAAATCCCGTGTTCAACTTAAAATTTAACTAGTTAGTGCTTGAACTTGAGTTTGAGTTCAATTTTAATATTAATTTAAATGATATATATCATTAATTTTTTTATTAAACTCACGAATTACTCGAATAATCTTTAGAATAGTTAAATTTAACATATTCGGAACTCGAACTATTTTTACTTTTTCAAACATAAACTTGAATATATATCTTAAATATTTAATTTGGATGGAGTCCTTCCCAGTGGGCTAGGCTAGCATTTCCTATCTTGTTTTGTGGGTGCTACATGAGGCAATAAGGGATCATTATCAACTTGGTAATGATATTAAATTTAAGAGAACTCAATACTATTCATGTCATGTATTGATACTTTTGAAAAATATTTTATTCACTCATACTTTGTGTTTAATGGCGAATGAAATAAATTTTGGATTTTGTTTTTATTTGTGAGAATAGAGGATATGTCAAATATCCGATTGAGATCATGTCTTTTTAGAACTATTTTAGTTATACAGTTCAATTTCAATAGTATTATTCTATTTTAGTTGAAAAATGCAATGAACGGTTAAAAGGGTTAAATTATTAAAATATTATTCTTTTATTTTTAATTAAAATAGTACTTAAACAATTTAACTTTTTAGAATAATATATACTTTTGTCACATAGTACGAAAACACATTTATATAATAACACTTTTTTTAAGTCTTTTCTTTAAAGAAATGTCTTTCCTTATGAATACAAAATCAAGAATATATTTGGATATAAATATTATATATATGAGGAAGAGCAGTGAGAGTTGCAGGACATGCTTGGCCATGTGTAGCATGCTTTAGTCAATATAAGTGGATGTAAAAAAAAAGGATGTATAAGAAAAAGTAGCCATTAAAGAAAAATGTTATCGGAAATGTAAAAAATAAAAAAGTAAGTTGAAGAATATACGATATGTACTTTTTCATATCAATCATCCTAATTCGGTATCTCTTACACTATGCAAGCGCTCATTAATAAAATACGTCATACGTTTTTTTTAAAGGGATTTTGTATTCAAGATGTATAGAATACAAAACTAAACAACATCACAAGCCTTGATAAAAAAAACCCTCTCTAAACCTAAATGGAGGAAAAAGTGTGCACAATGAGTTGCCATGAAAGAAAACCAACAATAGATCAAGAATACAAAGCCACAATCGAACAAAGCACACACACAAATGGGGCTCAGAGCCAAACCCCAATTTTGTACTGCCTTAAAAAGGAGCACACACACAAAACTCCAAAGAAGCAAAACAACACTCCAACTCCATACTCTATGTGCCCAAGACCTTCCAGCAGAGGAGACCAGTAGCTGCCACACGTAAGAGCAAATGAGATAACCCCGAGACTCCCGAGCAACACCATGAATAAAAGAATCCATCTCGCCAGCACCCGTGCCAGATCCCCACTGCCTGACTCCTAAAATTGCAGCCTGCAAACTGCAATAAGGCGACAAGCAAAATCACATACGATTAATGCATGTAAACTCATGAAACAAACTTAGTAAAACGGAGTAACTCATTTATAAAGATAAATAAATCTTAAATAGTCGTTTTGTTATATATATATATCTTCTTATCAATGGAATTACATACCTAAATATAAATATTTAATTTTGAACAAATAATATTATATGTAAATTAGAAAATGGATTTAAAATAATTTATCAAAAAAGAAATATCAATAAAATTGGATTAATATACTTAAAACTCATTGTGAGATTGTATCCGATTTAAATAAAAGGGTTTTAGGATAAAAATAATATAAATGATATTTAATTTTAAAAAATGAAGGACTTTATATTAAATTTATCGAGTTTGAAGTTTTTTTAGTGAAACAGACACTAAATTAATGTTTAAATAACAAAAAATAGTGAATTAAAAATTTTGATCTGCAACAACTGTTGGCAGCAATGGTAACTGATAACGATGACGGTGAATGATGGCCAACCACTGAAAGTTTTGGTCGAATTCAAAGGTTAAATTGATAATTTATCTAAAGTTTAAAGGTAAGAATGATATTTTAATCAAAGTTTAATATTATTTTAATATTAATCTAAAGTCCAAAGTTCAAATTAAAATTTAACCTTTTTTTCCGTAATGTGTTATGTCATCAAACTAACATGAATTAAACGTTCAATGGATAAAATATAATAATTGATAACGTAAGTGATTAAAATTTAATAGAACAATAAAATAAGTGATCGAAATATAACTTTTTCAAAATTAATGATAAAAAAATAATCATTCATATAATTAGCTTAGCTCAAAAAGAAAGTAAAGAGGAACCTATATAATACATTCTCATTTATTTGAATCACGTATTTACGGTATAAATTTGGATAAGTAAATAATCTTAGATTAGATGGAAATTTAACATTTGATGTAAATGAACTACTACTCTTAAACAAGATAATTACATGTTGTAAAACTAAAAGAAATTTAATCAAATATAAAGAAATAAAAGAGTAGAGAAAAACAGAAAAGACTAGGCAATATATCTCTTTATTATTATTTTTCATTAACTTTAAATATGTATTTACAATATAAGGATAAATGATAATTATAAGACTTATAAAATTAAAAATAAACGTAGTAAATACATACAAAAAGATAAATAAAAAATAAATAGTTATTTATTTTTTTAATATTATAAAACTTCACAATAATGTATACATGAAAGTTGATTTTTTCCTTGAATAAAGAATGCCTTCATTCGTGGCAAATGTCGACACCGTTTTTCGCCCAGGCGGGGAAAGGTCGATACCGACTCGAGATTTTCTTTTTGAAAATCGTTTAAAAATGTGAGGAATCGCCACCAATCATTTAAAGTGAGATTGAAACACCGTAAAAATCGGGTGATTTTAATAAAACATTTCATTTTAATAAAATATCGAGCTTTAGGTCTGCGAAAAATCCAAAAATCAGGTTCGGGAGTCAGTTACGCGTGGGGAAGGATTAGCACCCCCACAAGCGCCCAAAAATTGGTACCTAGTTGATTACCCTATATTTAAAATCAAAAATTTTGAGTTCGATCTTTATTTAATTTAAAAATCATTAAGGATGCAAAGTTTGAAAAGGATATTCGTTTATTGAGACCGATAACATTTGCCCCCGAGCGTAAATGCGGGAGATCAGTTATTGTGCCTAATAACCGAACATTGTCTCGTTTTTTTTTTAAAACATGATGTGGTTTTGAAAAGGATATCGACTTATTTAGGGAATTACCAGTAGTCAACCCCTGAGCGTGATCGCGAGAGATATACTATTAATTCCTTAATAAGTAAACAGTGCCTTAGATTTATAAAAATAATACGATCAAGCAAAATTTTATTTAATCCTAATTATATTAAAAATAAATTAAGGCTCTTTTCTAACCTACGGTGTCAAATTATGAAAATTAAATAATCTAAGGGCTTAAATCTAAAATGTAGGTTCTAATATTAATCCTATTTAATTTTAATTAATTATTGAATCGAATAACTGAGATGGTCTCTCGATCGTTTACGCGAGGGCAGACTCAAATTATCCCCTAAATTAAAAGACTACTTTAAAATCTAAGATAAAATGGAGGCTCTATTTAACCTATTTAATTATGTCAATATTTAAAGTCTAATTGAAGTTCGAGAACTAAAAAACCAGAGAACTAAAATAACGGGCTCTAAAAGATTTAAAAATCTAAAGACCTAAATTGAACGTTTTTAAAGTGAAGGGATTAACCTACTTATTAAACTAAAAATTTTAGAAAATATCAATCATTAATTAATTTTAACCGAACAATTGATTCGAGTATTCGGGGGTATAATACGAAAACTCGACTCGCATTGCCCCTAATTAAACTACAATGTCATCCTAATTTATGATTTTGATTCGAATATTAATCCTAATTAAGATAAAATTACAAAATAAATTAAATAAATACTAAAATTAAACAAAATAATAAAAATTACAAATAATAAAGAAAAATAAAATACAAAGATCTAAATATAATAAAATTTAAATATAATGACTAAATTGCGAGAAAATAAAAGAAAGTAACTCAATAAAAAGTAAACAGGGACCAAAATGTAAGAAAATAAAATTCAGTAACTACATTAAGACTAATAAGTACTAAATCAAAATAAAATAAAAATACATGCCAAAATAAAAAATAAATAGAAATAAAAGATGCAGTGACCAAAGTGTAAAAACACTCTAAAATTAAAGGTACTGAAATAGTTAATTTACCAGAAAAATAAAGCATGCATAGAGAAATGGTTAAACATCAATTTCGATCCTTACAATGACTAAAATGTAAAAAAAGGGGAAATTAGAGGCATTTAAGATGTAATTTTACCATTAATCTAGCCTACATATATTAACCTTTACTTTTTTTTTTACCTAAAACACAAAAAAAGGAAAGAGTTCTTGATAGCTCTCTCAACCATTCTACCGTTGACAAACTTGCTCAACCCTCGACTACCGGCCGACCGCCACTCCAGCCTCCGTACACGGTGGTTGGAAATTCTAAAATCGACTCAAATCGCCCCGAAACAATAGATCTACCCATTAGGAACCCCCATTGGGAATAAAACCACCAAATAAAGCCTTAAAGTACCCGAAAACACCCCGAAATCGCTCGATTTTCCCGGATTCCGGCGACCTCCGACGAGGCCCCCTTTGGCTCAAGTAAGCCTCGATTCCTACTTCTTTTATTTTCTTACTATAAAATACACATTATTTATGTTTTTTATTATTCTGAAATTAAACGGAAAAAATCAAATATTATTGTTATTTCGAAATAAAATAAAAAAATAAATTGAACGTTGTTGTTTCGAAATAAAGTATAAAAACTAAAAAACCACTACCTTGCAAAACTGCTTTGTATTTCTACTGGAAACAAAAAAAAACCGATCCCTTCATATTATCTTTCTTGGCTTTTATAGCCAAATGTTTACATAATATAATCATAAAATATTACAAATGTTTCGGTGATTTTCCGCATATCTCTGCAGGAATCAAGGGATGATGGGAATAGGTGAAGTGGGTAAACTGCATTTGACTTCTGATTTGAAAATTAGGGATTACAGCTGCCCCTCTTTGCTTGATGTTGTGAAACAAGAATAGAGCAAAAACGAAAGCACCAATTTTCATCTGTTTGGTCCATCAGTGAAATTTTGAGTTCCAATTTCTTCTGATCGGACGAGTTCTTCTCATTATGAACTCTTCGTTGGGGGATATCAATCCACTTCCTTCCGTGATGGAATCACCCAAGTTGAACAAATTCTTCTCATTATGAACATATTCTCCCTCATCGGATGGGTTCTTCTCATTATGAACTCCCCGCTGTAAATATTGATGCAAGGTTGAACAAATTCTTCTCATTATGAACTTATTTTACCTCTGTTGGATGAGTTCTTCTCATTATGAACTCTCCACTGGAAATCTTGAACTAAGGTTGAACAAGTTCTTCTCATTATGAACTTATTTTACCTCTGTTGGATGAGTTCTTCTCATTATGAACTCTCCACTGGAAATCTTGAACTAAGGTTGAACAAGTTCTTCTCATTATGAACTTCTTCTCCCTTGTTGGATGAGTTCTTCTCATTATGAACTCCCCACTGGAAATCTTAAACCAATGTTGAACAAATTCTTCTCATTATGTACTTCTTCTCCCTTGTTGGATGAGTTCTTCTCATCATGTTTTCAAAACTTGATGTAAATGTATGTGTATGCTCTTATTTGATGAATGCATGAGTGTGTATGGTGAGTTTTTGGGTTTTAAGGGTTTCACAGGCCCTTTTTTCTTTATCCTCGTCAAGTCTTCGTTTTTCCTGACTCAGTGTCTGATTCGTAATCTTTTTGTAATTTCTTGTCTCGCCCTCTCATCAATCACTCACTTCAACTAGTGCAAATATCGACCGGATGGACGACCTTGGATTTCCAATATTTTCATGGGTTAATCGCAAAGTAATACCAAAAAAATCATTTGTTTAGAATTCATATGCTTTTTATGGCGCGTGAAAATGAATGTTTTGAAAATTGAAATGATAATCAGGGAATTTATTGATTGAATTGAGTTTTACACAAAGTCATGGTAAAAGAATTGAACAAAGATTCTGGAAATCAAAAGAATATGTCATAACAAATTCTAGCACAAGTGTTCCTGAATCAGTTAATTTAACGTCCCGAGTTAATCATTTGTCTGGGAGATCTCAAGGTGGCAGAGCTGTTTGCAAAAGTGAAGTCATTCACGAACAACTAGTCTTTAGAGGAGGTTACTTGTTGGATGCCTCCACATCAAAAATACATTTGAGCCGCCCTTTTGGGTTTTCAACTCAAATCCTTCATTGGTTTCAAGGCGCCCTTTACGGGTTTTCACCTTGAACCTCTTTTTTTTTCCTTTTTCTTTTTTAGGCATAGTATTTCTTGACAGAGTCTGAATTTGTTTGGGCCCCCCCGGAGAAGACCTTTTTGACAACGTAGGGCACCTCCCAATTGGGCATCCATTTTCCGTGGAAGTCCTTCTGGATTGGCAAAATCTTTTTAAGTGCTATATCCCCTTCTCAGAACTCTCTTGGGTGTAATTTCTTGTAATGGGCTCTCATCATTCTCTTTTGGTACATCTGCCCGTGACATATAAAATTCAACCTTTTCTCTTCAATAAGATTCAGTTGATCGAGGCGAGATTGAATCCATTCTGCTTCATCCAATTCTACTTTCTTCAAGACTCGAAGTGATGGAATTTCAACCTCAATAGGTACGACTGCCTCTGTTCCATATACCAGAGAGAAAGGCGTTGCCCCTGTCGATGTTCGCACAGTCGTTCTATAACCATAAAGAGCGAAAGGTAATTTCTCATGCCAATCCCGGTAAGTTTCTGTAGCCTTCGTAATAATCCTTTTGATGTTCTTGTTTGTTGCCTCTACTTCCCCATTCATTTTAGGGCGATAGGTAACAGAGTTGTCATGCTTTATCTTGAACTGCACACAAAGTTCCTCCATCATCTTGTTGTTTAGATTAGTAGCATTGTCCGCGATGATTCTTTCTGGCAACCCATATCAACATATTATTTTCCTCTTTATGAATCTGCAAACTGTGGATATTATGATACTGGAATATGAAGCAGCCTCTACCCATTTTGTGAAGTAATCGATTGCTACTAAGATGAATCGATGCCCATTTGAAGCTTTTGGTGTGATTGCCCCAATGAAGTCCATGCCCCACATAGAGAATGGCCAGGGTGAGCTCATGACATGCAAAGGAGAAGGCGATGCTTGAATTTTATGTGCATATATATGGCATTTATGGCATCTTCTCACGTAATTGACGTAATATGTCTGCATCGTGGCCCAATAGTATTCATATCTCATAATCTTTCTAGCCATGGACAAACCATTTGCATGTGTTCTGCACGTTCTGCCATGCACTTCTTCCATAACATTTTTTTGCTTTTTTGGCAGTTACACATCTCAGTAAAACTTGGTCTCTCCCCCTTCTGTATAGGATTTCCCCATCAAGCAAGTATTCGGCTGCCATTCTTCTGATGGTTCTCTTGTCAACTTCAGATGCGCTGGGAGGATACATCTGGTATCTCATGTACTGTAAGATATCATAGTACCATAGATGGCCATCTATTTCTTCTTCTATGTGATAGCAGTGGGCTGGGGTCTCGTATACTTGCATCATTATGGGCATAATGTCTGTTCTCTTATTAGCTTTAAACATCGCTGCTAGGGTAGCTAAAGCATCTTCCATCTGATTGTCCTCTCGAGAGAGGTACTTGAAGGTGGCATCCTCAAATTCTTTCAGCAGTTCAAGGACCAAATTTTGATATTCCACTAGCTTTGAATCTTTCGTCTCCCATTCTCCCTTTAGTTGGTACACTACTAATGAGGAATCTCCGTATACTTTGAGTGCCTTGACCTTTCTTTCAATGGCTGCTTTTAACCTCATAATACAAGCTTCGTATTTAGCCATATTGTTGGTGTAAAAGAATTCTAATATGCTTGTGAAAGGATAGTACATTTCCTTAGGGGAAATCAACACTGCCCCAATTCCATTTTCTAAAGCGTTAGAGGCTCCATCAAAGTACAAGGTCCAAGATTTTTTACCCCTAGAGCTCTCTTCATCGATAGAGATGCACATCAAATTCTCATCTGGAAAATTAAAGTTCAAACCTTTGTAGTCTTCTGAGGCACGACTTGCAAGAAAGTCGGCTATGACGCTTCTTTTTATTGCCTTTTGGCTCACACAGACAATATCAAACTCAGATAACAACATCTGCCATCTAGCCAGTCTGCCAGTCAGAGCAGGGGACTCCATCAAAAATTCTAGTGGATCCAATCTTGATATCAACCATGTGGTATGGTATAACATGTACTGCCTGAGTCTCCGGGTTGCCCAAAATAAGGCACAACACAGCTTTTGAATTGGTGAGTATCGAGTCTCACAGTCGGTAAACTTCTTGTTCAAGTAATAGACGGCTCTTTCCTTTCTTCTTGATTCATCATGTTGCCCTAGTACACAACCCATTGAATTCTCGAAAACCGTTAGGTAGAGAATTAGTGGTCTGCCTGGTACTGGTGCTACCAATATGGGGGCATTTGACAGATATTTCTTGATGATTTCTAGAGTCTCCTGGCATTCATTATTCCATACCTCCGGATTATTCTTTTTGAGCAATTTGAACACTGGATCACACTTATCGGTCAGTTGCGAAATGAATCGCGATAAATAATTTAGTCTTCCCAAGAACACTCGAACCTCTTTCTGTATACGAGGTACATAAAGGTCTTGAATTACCTTGACCTTATCTGGATCGATCTTAATTCCTTCCTGGCTTACCACAAAGCCCAATAGTTTTCTTGATTTTACTCCGAAAGTGCATTTAGCTGGATTGAGATTTAGTTGGTACTTCCTTAATCTTTGGAACAATTTTCTCAAATTTTTCACATGTTCCTATTCCGTTCGGGACTTGGCAATCATGTCATCTACGTACACTTTTATTTCCTTATGCATCATGTCATGGAAGAGAGTCACCATGGTTCTCTGATAGGTTGCCCCAGTATTTTTCAACCCGAATGGCATCACTTTGTAACAGAAAGTTCCCCACGCAGTTATAAACGTTGTTTTCTCCATATCCTTAAGCTTCCTTTTGATCTGGTTATACCCTGAGAAGTCATCCATGAAGGAAAACCAAGAATGCCCCGCAGTATTGTCTACTAGAGTGTCTATATGAGGTAAGGGAAAATTCTTTTTCGGGCTAGCCCTGTTAAGATCTCGATAATCCACACACATGCGGACCTTCTCATCATTCTTAGGTACTGGAACTATATTTGCTACCCATTCGGGGTATTTCACCTCCTGAAGGAAACCTGCATCGATCTGTTTGGTTACCTCATCTTTAATCTTTAATAACATCTCCGGTTTCATTTTTCTGAGTTTTTGTTGAACTGGATTGCATTCTGGTCTAATGGGCAACGTGTGGACAACTATATCAATGCTCATCCCCGGCATATCTTGATATGACCAAGCGAAAATGTCTTTAAACTCTTAGAGCAAGCTTATCAAATCTAGCCTTATTTCTACGGATAGAGAAGTGCCAATTTTTATTTCCCTCTGCAATTCCATTTCCCCCAAATTCACGAGTTCTATTTCTTCTTTGTGGGGGTAGAATATGTTTTTCATCTCTTTCCACTAATCTCAATAGCTCATTAGGGACTTCACAGTTTTCTTCATCTTCACACTCATTGACTTCTTCCAGACACAATGGTTGTTCGAGATCTATCTTATAACTGGCCTCAGGAACAATTATGCTAGCATCATTGTGACATATGCATGAAATTTGGTTCGGATATATTGGAATGTAAAGAATATGTTGTAATGCAAAAATGTGAAGAATGAAAGTGATTATCATTTGAGGGAAAAGTATCTTTCATTAATTGACTGAATAATCATTGAGTTTTACAAAAGGTTGAATAGATACTTTGAAGATGCTAATACAAATTATTCTCGGGCATTACTTTGGATTGACCCTAAAAATTACGGGAAGATCTTCGACTGTCCAGTTGTCGAGCTTTCACCGGGGAAACAAAGACGGATTCCATATAGAAACTTTCCGGGTTGGTTGCCTCCAGTAACCATGTTGATAGACAGTCCCTTCAGGGTCTTTCCCATCCACTCTTCTTTTTTTTCTAGCCTTTCGATCTCGATAGCGCTGGCCAGTTCTTGCTCTACGTCATACACTCCTCCAAATTTGAAAGAGCTCTACAAAGGAGGGAAGAACATACGTTCTCCGGGGACATCCCCTCTTCTCAATCTGGTTTTCCTTACCTCGGCCCTCTTTTTCAGTTCTTGGCCACGCTATTGGAAAGTGGGCTTAAACCCAAGCCCAAAACAGTCTCTCTTCCATTCAAGAGTTATGGGTCGTACTTGTCCCTGCAGATTTTTTCCCAGTCCTTTGCCGGTTCTCGCTCCTCTTCCCAGGGTTTGCCTTACTGTCATCTTAGTGCAATATGAGAGTGTGGGTCAAGGAATCATGCTTCCTTCAGCCACATAGGTTGCGTTGATAAATTCTAACGCCCTGAAGGAACATTCTAAGGCGTCTTCATTGACTTCGATGTATGGGGTATCTGTCGTCACAGAAGCTATGATTTCTTGTTCAACTCTGATGCTGACCAACCTTCCATCAATTACGAATTTCAGCTTCTGATGTAAGGACGAAGGAACTGCCCCTGCAGTGTGGATCCAAGGTCTCCCTAGTAAGCAATTGTATGTCGGGTGGATGTCCATTATTACAAAGTCAATGTTGTAAATAGCAAGTCCGATCATCAAGGGTATTTCTAACTTTCCCATCACGTTCTTATGGGTTTCGTCAAATGCTCTGACGATGTTATGATAAGCTCTCATGTGTGAGCTATCAATGGGCATTCTTTATAGTGTAGCCAAAGGCATTACGTTCAGTGCAGACCCATTATCTATCAGAACTCCCAGTAAGACTTGGTTGTGGCAGTGTACCGTGATATTTAAAGCCTTGATGGACCCCATTCCTCCTTCTGGGATCTCATCATCAGTGAAGGTAATGTAGTTGTCAGTAGCTATGTGGCATACGATTCGGTCCAATTTATGCGTTGAGATATCATCATGGACAAAAGTTTGGTTAAGTACTTTCAACATGGCGTTCCTGTGTATTTCTGAGTTGATCAAAAGATCCAAGATCGAGATTTTTACATGCTGTTTGTGAAGCTGCTCCACTATGTTGTATTTACTATGCTTTAGAAATCTTAGGAATTCACGACCCTGAGCTTCGGTCACAGGCTCGTTAATAACTGGTGGAGGTTTTTCATTGAAAATTTTTGGCATTACCACTGTCTTGGCTTTGGCCTTTGCTTTATCTGCTTCGGTGGATGTCTCAGGTGAGTAGCATATTCCGCTTCTAGTGAAGTGGCCTACCTCACCTACTTCTTCTGGGATTAACTTGCTTTCTTCTTTCATCATTTCAACAATTTTTGGTCCCTCTAGTATGGACACACTAGCTGCGTAATTCCAAGGAACCTGTCGGTGTCCTTAAACGGAAAGGGGGACGGAGTTATGATCACCACTTTCGGAGTTGTTGATGATGAGCTCTCATGTCTTGGTCTAACAGTGATGACCACCGGTTTTCTCGCTCCAGGCATCCTGTCAGAGCCATCCATCGTGCAAACGTCCATTTCTCGGGGTCTTTCTTCAAAAAATTCCACTTTCCCGTTGTCCATCATTCTCTGAAGTAATCCTCGAAATTCGTGGCAACTCTGTATGTTGTGGTCCTCCTCTTGGTGATATTCGCAGTATGTTTTACGTCCCCAAGGCCTTGGCTTGAGACTATCTTTAATCATCCCCGACATGTAAAACTGTCCAAACACCCAACTGAGAGGAGATCGGATTTCTGATACATTTCTCTTCGTCGTTCGGATCTCTCTTTCATCTATCATATTGATTCCTTGCCCTCAGTGATTAGGAAGGGGGTGAGCATTTACAGTTGGTGTTTTGAATTCCAAATCTCCATCATTGATGAAGCTTTGTACAACTCTCTTGAAAGCTGATCAGTTCTCGATATCATGCCCAGCGATCCCTGCGTGATAATCACACTGAGCGTTGGCATTATACCAATGCGAATAAGGTGGCTGCAGCGGCATTAACTTATAAGGACGCACTAGATCTGCCTTCAAAAGTGAGGCGTAAATTTCTGAGTACGGTACTGGTACTGGTGAGAAAGTTTGCCTCGTATTCTCTCTCCTTGGACCCCTGTTATCATAAGTGTTTGCCTTCTCTACCCTAGGCTGGGTGATTGTAACACTGGCAGCACAGTTCTTATGGTGAGTGTTCGTATTGTTCACCTAGCTTTCTCTTTTCTTAAAATAGGGCTTCTTTGACCCTTCACCTCCTTCAATCTTGCCATTTCTAACGGCATTCTCAATTAGCTCACCAGAAATGACCAAGTCAGCAAAATTCTTGGTAGCATTTCCTAAGAGATGCCCTAAATACAGAGCTTTTAGAGTATTCACAAAAATGATTGTAGCCTCTTTTTCCAATAATGAGGATTGCACTTGGGATGCCACATCACACCACCTTTGGGCATATTGCCTAAAGGTTTCACTTTGTCGTTTCTCCATATTTTGCAGCGTCTACCGATCAGGTACCAGGTCAGTGACGTGACGATACTACTCTAAAAATGCTCGGGCCAAATCCCTCCATGATTTAATATGAGACTTGGTCAACTGGTTGTACCATTTGGTCATCGATCCAGTCAAACTGTCTTGGAAGCAATGTATCAGAAGCTTCTCGTTCTCAGTATAGCCAACCATCCTCCTACAGAACATAGTAAGATGGACAGATGGGCAAGTGGTCCCGTCGTACTTTTTAAAATCTGGCGTTTTGAACTTCGAGGGCAATATGAGATCAGGAACCAAGCTTAGCTCCCTCGCGTCCATTCCGTAGAATGACTCCACCTCTACCGACCTTACCCTTTCCTCCAGACTTTTCAGTTGTTGAGTTATTTCGCTGTCAACCTTTCCTTTTGCTGATATTTCCTGAAAGTCATGAGGTAACTCTTACATGCCTGACTCAACAGTCTTACCCTGGCAGCCGATGGGTAATTAGCTTGATATACGGGCTCAATATGATTCTGGGTTGGCAATCTAACAGAAATGTGTACTGGGGTAAAATCGGGATGATGTGAAGGACCTGGTGTAAACCCCGGTGGATGTTAGAGATCAGATGTAAACACATCAAGATATGATGCTTCTGGTTCAAACCCTGGAGGATGCAGGGGATCTTCTTCTGATAACGCTCGTTGGTCAACCTTCGTCTTTCCGTTCGTAGCATGTTTCTTAAACATTTCTTCGATCTTTTGCAAGATACCGACTTGCGAGTTTTCTATCTCTGCTTCCATCTCATTTAGTCTCTCTCTCATTCCTTCTTGGGCTTGCCTTTGGCCTTGTTCAAGCTGAGCCATTCTTGCCTCCATTTTCTTGGTCGTTCTTCGAGTACCGTACGGGTGTGAGGCGAGTGCCAGGATAACTACAATTGGATGGAAATTATATTTTATTATTTGGTGAATTTTAATAAATGAATGAATTGTTATAATATAATTATTTAGTCTTTTAAATATGAGAAAAACATATGAAAACGCAAATGCAACCCGATATTGATTCCGAAATAACTTAGTTTTAAAAAAAGGTACTCAACAACACACAATGTCTAAGCACTTAGGCAAAGAGAATACATCAATCATGGAAACTACACATAAAATCTTACCATATCCCCTAATCTTTTGAGCTCTATCATCAATCTGATGATGCGTCGTTCTTCTACTGACTCCGGGACTACAAAAACTCTCAGGGCTGCCGCTTCTTCAGATAATTCGATACTTGGTGAGAAACACTACGGGCCTGACTCATGGCTCTCCCCATTGCTTCATGTTGACTATGAATGGTATCCTGAGCCTGCCGTAGTGCGGTTTCAAGCTCTGAATTAGTCAATGGTCGACTTTCTTCTAATTGTTGGATTCGCTGATGTCCTTTATGTACTGCAACTTCTAGCTCAGTAATCTTGAATTTTAAGGCCTCGTTCTCTTGCATGGCTATATCATGTGCGGATGAGTGGATCAACTTTGCTTCTTCTAACTCTGCTACCCTTTTCTTTAACCTCTCATTTTCTTTTTGAAGACATGACCCATCGCTACTGTACGAGTTCTGAAAAATCTCATCCATACTAAGCAACTGTGCTTCGAGCCGTTCAATCTGTGCCCACCTCTGTGTCAATTCTTGGTTAGCCTCATCTCTTTGCTCTTTTAGTCTTTGGGCATGCTGCATGGCTCGTTTCTTTTATTCTTGATATTTTCTTGCGCTTCTTTCTATCCCGTCGAGTTTTATTTTTAGGGTCTTGGCAGTATGATGTAGACTATGGGCTCTCATATTCTTCTCTAAGTCCCGAAAATCTTTATTTAGCGCATCAAAACTTCCCTAAACATTCTCTTTATCTTTGGACAATTGTTTTATCACTCCATCCTTCTTAATCAGCTCGAGCTCCCACATTGTCTTCTCATCTGAGAACTTTCTATTTTCTTTTTCTCTCTCCATATTTATCAGTCGCATTTCCTCTCTTAACAATTCAGCCTCTGTCAAGAGCCTCTTCAAACGCTCTTCCATAATCAACTAATCTTCTAATTTTGGCTTCGGTGTATTGTTATTAATCATTTGCAACCTCCAAACCTCATAGGCTGACGTGAATACAAGCTCTATCATCTTGAAGCTCATGCAGTGAGGTTTTTGCCAAGCCGTATAAATCTTTGAAATCTGCTCTCGGTAACCTGGAGTGGAGAAAGAAAACTCCGCCTCCTTCAGGCCGTGGGTAGCGGGTACGAACTGTCGGGTACTGAACTGTCTGAGTGTAATTAGCGGAGTATACCCGATCGCTCCCCATAACCCGTGTAGCATTACAAAACTATCGTTGCCGCATCTGAAAAGTATGTCTTTTTTGGGTAACCAGTAAGCCTTCCATACTATCTCGGTATCTTTTATGTTACGGAGAGCTTCAACCCATTCCTTCCTCTTGCGATGCTCTGGTATTTGACACTTGCTAAGGAAGTCCACTAGAGGCAAAAAATTTGATTGATGTCTCTGAGCCCAACCTTTCTCGACTATCCAGGAGTGACTCTACCACCAAACTAGTAACAATGAGACACATCTGGTGAACTGACCTCCCCCTAATTGTCTACACTGGTTCAGTGACAAGAATATTTCCGCAATGATGGTTGGTGCGGGATTGTTTCTGGCAATAGCTTCGACAAAATCAATTAAAGCGATGTCGAAGTGATCCTCATTCCTGGGGAAAATAACCAAGCCATATAATGCAAGTGCAAAGTGATCTTTTCTTCTTTTTGATGGAGTCTGCTTATAAATCAAACTCTTCAGTTAAGGCCAAGAGATTTCCTCATCACGAATATACTCTTCGACCCATTCCTTGGTCTTCCCGGTCAGCGTGATCATCTTGGTAATAAATCCCTTAGGTCGGATCGCCTTGGTGTAAATGGAATGTCTTCTGATATTTGGGATATTCAGTAAAGTCGTATACTCCTCAAAGGTAGGGGTCATATCTACTTTTCCGAAAGTGAAACACCGGTAAGCTGGATTCCAACACTCGGCCAGGGCTCGAATAACCACTGTGTCTATTGGAACTCTGAGCAGCTCTACTAGGTCGTCGTATATTTCTCTGAACAGTGTTTTCTCGTTATCATCCCAAGCGGCTCAAATTCTTGATAACTCAGCCCAATGCATCTGTCTGACTTGGATAATTACCTTCTCCGGTAAAACTGATTATTCATTAGTAACAAGGCTATCTCCGAATCGCGTCTGTCCGTATTTGAACCAGGTCTGAACATTTATTGCATTCTCAATCCCATCGGAAGACATTGCTACCTTAAGCTCTTTTTATAATAACTAGATAATCTGGGAATCAATATCGTTTATGAAATGATGCGATATGATAATGATACATGTAATCAAAAAAATAAAGCAACAAGTTAGTATATCAGAATAATCGAAAAATAAAGGAATAATTAGCGAAGATTTAAATTATCGAATGCGAAATAATAATAAAAAACCGAAAATCCTAACATCATACGATTTAGTTCTCTTAAGTTAACCACGTGGCTTTAACGGGGTTGGTTTACTAAATTCTCTATATGTGGGAGGGTTCTAGCAAGGGTTCCCGAGTAATTTCACAACCTGCTAAGGTTGACCCCGATTTTGGCCCATTACAGACTTGCGAATCGTGTTCCACTCAGGGGATCACACCACTAAAAGCGTACCTCAGAACTGATATCCGGATAGGAAACTTAGGGTGTTTTCTAGAGATACTTTGTCAGACCCACACAAGGAAGCCCGATGCTCCTCGTGAGGTGTGATGTTTCTCCCTACTTAGATAAATCGGGATTGAGCTCGGGTTTAGAGCTATGCTATGCAACAATCTTAAATATTTCATAGAAGTGTAAGCATTAACCAGAAAGAAAATCTTTTTTTTTAAATAACATAATGAACTGTAAATTAAATAAGATTGAACTCATAATTTCCAAAATAGTAAATGTAGGGTAACCAACTCGTGGCTCGACTCTCAATTTGTTTAAAAAACAAAACGACCCTAGTGGAGTCGCCAAGCTGTCGATACAATTTTTCGCCCGGGCGGGAAAATACCGATATCGACTCGGGGTTTTCTTTTTGAAAATCGTTTAAAAATGTGAGGAGTCTCCACCAATAAAACATTTCATTAATAAAATACCGAGCTTTAGGTATGCGAAAAATCCAAAAATCAGGTTCGGGAGTCAGTTACGCGTGGGGAAGGATTATCACCCCCACAAGTGGCCAAAAATTGGTACCTAGTTGATTACCCTATATTTAAAATCAGAAATTTTGAGTTCGATCTTTATTTAATTTAAAAATCATTAAGGATGCAAAGTTTGAAAAGGATATTCGTTTATTGAGACCGATAACATTTTCCCCCGAGCGTAAATGCGGGAGATCAGTTATTGTGCCTAATAACCAAACATTGCCTCATTTTTTTAAAACATGATGTGGTTTTGAAAAGGATGTCGACTTATTTAGGGAATTACCAGTAGTCACCCCCTGAGCGTGATCGCGGGAGATATACTATTAATTCCTTAATAAGTGAACAATGCCTTATATTTATAAAAATAATACGATCAAGCAAAATTTTATTTAATCCTAATTATACTAAAAATAAATTAAGGCTCTTTTCTAACCAACGGTGTCAAATTATGAAAATTAAAGAATCTAAGGGCTTAAATATAAAATGTAGGCTCTAATATTAATCCTATTTAATTTTAATTAGTTATTGAATCGAATAACTGAGATGGTCCCTCGAGCGTTTACGCGAGGGACGACTCAAATTATCCCCTAAATTAAAAGACTACTTTAAAATCTAAGATAAAATGGAGGCTCTATTTAGCCTATTTAATTATGTCAATATTTAAAGTCTAATTAAAGTTCGGGAACTAAAAAATCAGAGAACTAAAATAACGGGCTCTAAAATATTTAAAAATCTAAAGACCTAAATTGAACGTTTTAAAAGTGAAAGGATTAACCTACTTATTAAACAAAATTTTTTAGAAAATATCAATCATTAATTAATTTTAATCGAACAATTGATTCGAGTATTCGGGGGTATAATTCGAAAACTCGACTCAAATTGCCCCCTAATTAAACTACAGTGTCATCCTAATTTATGATTTTGATTCGAATATTAATCCTAATTAAGATAAAATTACAAAATAAATTAAATAAATACTAAAATTAAACAAAATAATAAAAATTACAAATAATAAAGAAAATTAAAATACAAAGATCTAAATATAATAAAATTTAAATATAATGACTAAATTGCGAGAAAATAAAAGAAAGTAATTCAATAAAAAGTAAACATGGACCAAAATACAAGAAAATAAAATTCAGTAACTACATTAAGACTAATAAGTACTAAATCGAAATAAAATAAAAATACATGCCAAAATAAAAAATAAATAGAAATAAAAGATGCAGTGACCAAAATATAAAAATACTCTAAAATTAAAGGTACTGAAACAATAAATTTACCAGAAAAATAAAGCATGCATAGAGAAATGGTTAAATATCAATTTCTCAAGTTGGAAGGGTTTTTTTTTTTTAAAAAAAAAACAATTATCGTTTCTGCTATTTCTTTCAGGGTTTTGTATCTTCAAAGCTAAATTTGGCAAATTACCGACATTTTTACCCTACATTTGCCTTCTTTAACTTTGCCTTTTCTCTTTTGTAAGTCTTAACTACTCTATTTATAGAAACATCCTTTTGGTTTTTTTTTTTGGGTTTTCAGATTTACTTGATTCCATGCTTGAGTTATTCCCTAAATAGAAGTTTGATTGCTCAAGTTCTCTAAAACGGAAGCCAACCTTTTGTTTTTGGCGATGGTTTACAGGGCAGGGAAAAAAGATCAACAGCTTAAACAAGAAAAGAAAAAAAATGACAAGAGAAAAGATTCAGATTAAGAAAATTGATAGCAGTACAGCAAGACAAGTGACTTTTGCCAAAAGGAGAAGAGGTCTGTTTAAGAAAGCCGAGGAGCTGGCCATTCTTTGTGATGCAGATGTTGCCCTTATCATTTTCTCTTCTACTGGGAAGCTCTTTGAGTATGCTAACTCAAGGTACTCTTCTTATCACTTTCCAAACACGTGTTTTGAATTACTTTTATTTTTTTTTAAATATAAAATTATCCTGTTGTAGTTGTGTAACATTTTACTCTTTCGTAGTGGGAGAAAGGGCAGGTTTTTTTTTAACTTGGAGAGAAATGTGTTATAAGATCTTTGAGAGGGGGAAGTCTGTTCCTTCTTCTGTATTTACGTGTGTGCGTGTGTGTTTTAAAAATACGTACCCTGGAAGTTTGATGGAAGAACGAAACGAGTAATGAAAAATTGAGTTTTGAAAGATAAGTTTACAGTTTGTGTGTGTATATATTGGTTTTTCTTTTTTACATTTTATGAGAATCTATAGTTAGTTCTCTGTGTTATGCTGTACGGAAAGAAGATAAGCTCGATTTTATTATGTTTGGCTTTAATCTTCAGCGTAAAGGAGATATTAGAAAGGTACCATTTGCGCTCAAAGATCCTGGAGAAGCTGGAACAGCCATGTCTTGAGTTGCAGGTTTGTTGTCTTCTATACTCCTCTTTTCGTTTTTATGTCGATATTTAATCAGTTGGCTGCAAAATTACATGGAGGATGAATGGAAATTTCGGTTTTTTTCCCCTTAAAAAATTAATATAACCATATATATATATGATACATGGGCCTATTATTTGAGTATGATTATGGTATTTTCACCATTGAAGTCCATGTATTTATACGTCATTGACCTTTTTCATTCCTTTTCTAATCTGCAGCTCGTAGAAGACAGCAACCAGTCCCTGCTGACTATGGAAATAGCAGAGAAAAGTCGTCAACTGAGGTATGCATTTCTTTTTGTTCTTTCTTAAAAAATTTATTCATATATGAAAAAGTGGGTTCTGCATTAAAACAGGCAAATGAGGGGCGAGGAACTCCAAGGATTAAATGTTGAAGAACTACAGCAGCTAGAAAAGTCTATGGAAGTAGGGTTGAGCCGTGTGATGGAGAAAAAGGTTCATAAAATCTCTGCAAAGTTTTAAGGAGTATGTACACGTGATTAAATATTTGAAATTATTATCTTCTTTAATGGATTTCAGGGTCAAAGGATTATGAGCGAAATCAGTGACCTTCAAAGAAAGGTCAGTATTTAAACATACAAATAGCAGTAAAAGGAGCATGAAAACAGACATAAGAGAGTCTTTTGATGCACGCAGAGAACGGAATTGTTGGAAGAAAATGAACGATTGAAGCAGCAAGTATGGTTTTCCCGTTTCATATATAATACTATTCCCATGCTATTAAGTTATTAGTATAGGTATAGTCACAAGGTTTCATCACTGCAGGTATTGCAGATATCTGATGGCCGAAGACAAGTTGTTGGTGACTCGGAGAACATCTTCGAGGAAGGTCACTCGTCGGAGTCAGTGACCAACGTTTGTACGTCCAATGGTAATCTGCAAGACTATGAAAGCTCCAATACATCCTTGAAATTAGGGTGAGTACAAATCCAGAAACAAATACTAAATTTATTGTTAAAAGCCAATGGCCAAACCGTTTGTTTTCTTTTGGCTTGATGTTTTGCAGGTTACCGTATTCTGGTTAACTGGGGAGGGTTTGAGGTAGGAAGTTATGATAGAAGTTTTCGTAGGATATGATTGGCGAGTTGGTTTTATATTGAGATGCAAAGGTAGCTAACTCACCTGCATGTTTGTTGATATGAATTTATTCTAATCAAATTTGGTAACGGTTAGAGGATGCGATGTACCTCACTTTCCTACTCCAAAATTTGTAGCATAATGTTTCGTAATTGAAGAGGCATATTTGTTGAAATTAACTTATGATATGTAATCATCTAATTCACTAGTGATTTATAGAATTATATACCGTTGATACATTGAATATCTTAATATAATCATGGATGCCTAACTCATTGATCGATTAATTTAGATCATAAACTTTAGAGATCAATTATCGTAGCGATGCTACTAACGTAATGTGTTACATTCATATCATAGACAATAAAATTTGTTTAAGCCAACACGGATGGTAACTCACGTGAATTTAGATAATTAATCATCTTTTGTGAACTCATATAATAAAGATTCAAATAATTTATGGATTTGATTGTTAAATTTAGAGAAAATCGCCTCAGTGACCAAAAAAAGTTATAATATACGATTTTAACCAACTTTTTTTGGATTTGCCAAAATGACCAACAAAATCGCAACGCGAA